ACCCACCCACCCACACACACAAAAGTTCGCATTACTTAGTTGAATCCAGAAAGCGCGTTTCCGACAGTTTAAAGCAGTGTACACTACGTTACGCGTGACTGGAGCTATACCACCTCACGCTGGATTGTAATACTACAAAATGCCTATAGCTGCGTGGGGGTTGGGCCGGACTGGGAGGACGGGCCCGCTCCGGCCTGGCCCGCCAAACATGAGGCAAACAAGGGGACGCAAATCTGTGCACGGCCCTCTGGGAATAGGAAAGGACCTTTACCGGTCAGGAGATCGGCCGGGCAAGTCCTTGGAGCGGGACGCCCTACAAAAATCTCTCTCTCTCTCTCTCTCTCTCTCTCTTTCTCTCTCTCTCTCTCTCTCTCTCTCTCTCTCTCTCGCTGCTGCGCTGTTATTATTCTTAGTAATAATTGGTACGACTCTATCGAGCTCTCAAACTCGAATGTATACCATTTTATTAAATAAAAATCAATCAATCTCCACCTCTTAGGTCTGCACGAGTCTACATTTGTAGCGGGACTTTTCAAACCTTTTAATAAGCACAAAAGAAAGTAATTCAAAGTTCAAATTCTCCTCCACCCCTATCCAATAGATTGTAGCCCTACATCTCTCTCCGTCTCGTTGCCAAACCTGAAAATAAATGAAAACAAAACCAAACAAAAAACAAAGGAAGCAATTGTGATACAAAGACAAATTTCCGAAGTGATCAATTATATAGAAACTTGGAAATAATTCATTTTCTCCTCCGCGGCGGCGTGGGCCGCCGCGCGGATCAGATGAGACTATAGACCGGAGGGGCCAGCGCCGGCGGAGGCGAAGCAGACAGCTATTCGTCCTGACAGAGACAGATTCTCCACCGTCAAGCCGCACTCCTCCCCCCTCCCCCACCTGCTTTCCCTCGAAGTAGTACGAGATGAAGAAGATCCTCTTATAGACTGGGGGCGGCAGGCGGTGGCCCCCCTGCCTTTCACCGCCCAGGTAATCGTGCACGTGATATGTCGGCTGCCAGCCCTGGTCTCGACGTGTGTCGCCCGCCGTGCGGCCAAGACGACGGCGGGGTGAAGGAGTCCACGGGGACGGGGCACGCAGCAGAGCGTCGGGCGGAAACAAGGGGCAGGAGGAGAAGGAGGAGGACGTCCCGGGGTCCCCCCAAGTTCCGCTTCCTCCCACCCCGCCCAGACGTCACCACCTGTAGCGTTTACAACTACACAGCAGAGAGGAAACTGTGCTAACAGAAGGAAATAAGAGCTGCTCCTACTGCCGCAGCTCTGCTGCTGATAGCCACCTCGGCGGCAAAACTCTCCCTGAGAGGAAAAAGGAAGACTATCGATTCCTCTTCCCGGGCACGAGGTAGAATCAACATGGGCGAGGGGATCTACCCCTGCGGAGGAGAGAAAGAGAGGGAAAGGGAGCGAGAAAGAGTCGTGACAGGATGGCGAGCGCGGTCTCACCGACACCCGCGGGCGAGCGGGGATTGAAATCGAGGACGTCTGAACGCGCAGCCGGGAGCGCGTCTGAGTGAGTAGTGTGCGCTCGTGTGTAAGAGAGAGAGAGACCAATCGAATACAAATTGAATAACATAGTAATTTGCCCCTAGCAACTACACCCAGAAAAATGATTTCTTTCTTCAATAAGTGCATTTTGTACTAAAAGTGACACAAGACTAATTTGTCATTGACTCAAGATGATTTTTCCATTGGAGTGAGAACATTTTCTTCATCGGCGAGTAATTATATCTTGCGCCAAGAAAAAAATAATCTTAAGATAAGACACAAGTGTGTCACTTTTAGTACAAAATGGACTTGAAACAAGAAATCATTTTTCCGGGTGTAATGTGTCCAAAAGACGAAATGACGTCCTTTCTTGGGTCCGGTCAATATTGTTCCCTTGCATTGAATGTGTGTACAAGTTATAAACTAAGATCGATTTCGACTGGTTTGACGAACTCTCTTAAATTTTCATAAACTTCGGCGAAAACCTCAGTTATAAAAATCGAGACTTCCCTGGCGTCTAAACTTAAGAACTTTAGACGAAAGACAAAAGAGTCAGTAAACTTGAGCATTGAACTTGGACTTTAGGTGCACGTATATACGTGTATTTTGCAGCC